AGAGCCGCGCGCCCCGCGCCCGTGCGCCCCGCCGGCCTCTGCGTAACGGACCCCCAGCCCCAGCCCCGGGGCGCTCGGCTGACCGCCGCCTGGCAAAGCCACAGAAGCCTTGGGGGGCCAGGCCCCCGATTCCAGGAACCGTTAGCGCTTCTGGAGCGCCTCCCCTGCGCTCCAGAAGTCACCCCACATTGCCTGATTTTAATCCTCCCGGGGGAGGTACTGGAGCAAGGAAACAGGTCCAGAGAGGTCCGGTACCTTTGCCTGAGACTACACCCCAAGCAAGGATTTGAAGTGGGGGCCGGACCCCCTTTCCTAGCCGTCTGTCTAGCAGTTTTATGTGGCCAGGGTTCCCCTTGGCGAAAGTAACCCCTGGGGGGGGGGGAGGAGATAGTTCTAAGGTCACTGCCTTGAGGAGCAGGAGATCCCCGAGTTTTGCTTATTTCTCCCAGTTCCTCTGAGCCAGCTTGTGGCTCCTTCCCCAACCTCTCCATCCCCCCAGGGAGCTCTAGACCCTGTGCCCGGCGCACAGCAGGCCCTCGGTAAATACCCATGGCAAGAAGGGACTCCCAGCCTGCACTGTCTGGCGACCTGTCTCCCTTTGGCTTATCAAGCCGGATGACTCAGAAGTTCTCCGTACAGGGCTTGGTTCCTCACCTGGGGGGTAATGGGCAGCAAGGCGGGCACCGCAGGGATGTGATGCCCAGGGGAAGGTGGGCCGACAGGTTCCCCTCCTCCTGCCAGAGCCCACAGGCGCTTCTGTGAGCTGCTTCCCCAGCAGCACCGGGGTGTGGAGGAGTCGCTGCAGGCGCGGGTGCCCTTGGAGCAGATCTTCAGCCTCCCGGAGCTCAAGGTGCCAGCCTCCCATCATGCAGTCCTTGGTCCCGCTCTGCTCTTTTCTCTGCTCTAGCTCTTAATTTCCTGGGGGCCAGAGGGCTTTACCTAAATCACCCGGTGGAATTACCTAGAACGGTGCTTTTCAAATTGAGATTGATTCTAGGAACCTGTTCTTGGAGCTTCTAAAGAAGTTTGGCTCTTTAAGGGGAACCTAAAGTCTTGAGAAACCCTGTTCCAGAGGCTGATTGCCTCTCTCCATAGGGCTGCTGTGAAAATCTCCACACAAAGGGCCTGGCCTAGTGCCTGTAACACAATTAGGGTTTGATCAAATGTTCTTTGTGCTTAGGATGCCTTCCCCTTCCTCCTGGGCCCCCAGGCCTAGCTGTGGTTTGACATCTGACCCCCAGTAGCTGCCCCTGCCCCCTCCCCAGCTGGGTCACCGGTCCTCCCGCCCTTGGCAAAGCGCTGGCATCCTTCCCCACGGGCCTGTGCTCAGGGTGCGGGCTCTGTGACCTGTTCCCTCCAGTTCCCTGTAGGGTTTGCGTGCGCCCGGGGCTGTGTCCTGTGGCGATCGCAGAGGCTCTCTTCCTAGGCGAACCCCTTCAAGGAGCGGATCTGCAGGGTCTTCTCGACCTCCCCAACCAGAGACAGCCTGAGCTTCGAGGACTTCCTGGACCTGCTCAGTGTGTTCAGTGACACGGCAACGCCAGACATCAAGTCCCACTATGCCTTCCGCATCTTCGGTGAGGGCCGGAGGAGCCTCGTGGGACCCAGGGGCTTCTGCAGGGTTTTCCGGGTGGTGCCCCTTGGGAGGTGGGGGTCATCCCAGAGGCCTCGGAGCTCATGCCCAGCCACATCCTTTCGGCTCTTTAGATTTCGATGATGATGGGACCTTGAACAGAGAAGACCTAAGCCAGCTCGTGAACTGCCTCACTGGAGAGGGGGAGGACACGCGGCTCAGCGCCTCAGAGATGAAGCAGCTCATTGACAACGTGAGCGCCGGGCCCAGTGGGGTGGCCCGGGGAGCGGAGGGAGGCCTTTGGCCTGACGCGCTCCCTTTCCCAGATCCTGGAAGAGTCCGACATTGACAGGGACGGGACCATCAATCTCTCCGAGTTCCAGCACGTCATTTCCCGTTCGCCGGACTTTGCCAGGTATGATCGCTGTCCCATCTGTGGCATCGGGGCCTGGAACGTTACCATGATGGGGACGGTGCCCAGGGAGAGCCGCCTGCGTCCCCTGAATATCTCAGGGTAGCTGTTCTCTCAAAGACGACTGACAGATGGGAGACACGGCCCATTACAAAGGGTCTCAGGGTGGGTAAGTTCAGGTTCGGTTAATCTCCTCTCTCAGCAGAAAATCCATCCCATTCTTCTCTTGTTCAGCTCCTTCAAGATCGTCCTGTGACACGAGCCGCGGCCTGGCTCCCAGCTCCCCGTAGAGTAACCCCGCCACCGCTGGGCTGTGGCCAAGGTCACACCTCTGTTGCCAGGGCCAGCTCAGCTGGCCCAGTCGAGCTGGCGCTGTGAAGTCTTGTCCCGGGCAGGGAAGGGCCCTCCGTGTCGGGGCCTCACCCCTTCTCACTGCCACTGTCATCGCTCTGTTTGCTTCTACTAATCCACAATAAAGGTTTAGAAGTGTTGCTCCTGTGTGTGATGCTAGAAACACTGGTCATGAGGAAGGACTGGACTCCTGGGAGACTTGGGTCGTACCGGGCCTGACTAACCGCTAAAGAAGGGGCCCCCAGAAATACAAAGGGTACATGGGGGAGCGAACCCTGCTGTATGCTGACTGGTGGTGGTGGTTACATGAAATTTCTACATGTGTTAACATTATAGAACTGTTTATAAATGATAATAACTTACTGTATGAGCATTTTTAAAATAAAAATTTTTAAGAGTTAAACAAAAAACTCTGTTTCCCTGCACCCCGACCCCTGAACGGAGTGAGGGGTTGAGATGTCATCAGCCAGGCTAGCCTGGTTCTGGCCCACGAGCCCCTAGAAATAAGGGGTTTGGGACCCCCCCAGAACTCAGAAGACTAGACCAGCCTCAAAGAGCAACAATCCTTTTAAGAGGAAGGGATCACGATTCCATTTCAGTTCTTTCGATTTTATTTAAAAAAAGGACAATATAAAGTGCATTTTAAAAAATATATAAAACACATATAAATTCAAGCCCTTGTGCTGGGCAGTGTCAGTCCCTTGGATCAGAGGCAGGTCAGGTGTGGGGGTGCAGGGGGACTGGGTGGATGAAAGAACAGGGACACGGGTTTCCAGCCTGGGCGGAGGGAAGGAAGCAACAGCAGCCTCTTCTAGAATCCAAGGGAAAGGCCAATGTCGACATAAACTCTCCTGAGCGCACACTGCCTGCCTGCTGTCCAGTGGCCATAGCCTGATACAGGCCGGAAAGGTCCAGAGGTGGCTCGAGCCCAGGGCCCCGTGAGGGCCATAGCCAGCTAGCTCTCCGGTCCCTGAGGCGTCGGGGCGATGGCCGTAACAACTCCGCCAGCTGGCCGGGCAGGTCCCACAGAGCCTGAGCTGGCCCCTGGCACTGGCATAAGGCAGAGATTCCAGCTAGTCAGAGATTCCCAGCTCTGTCTCCAACCACCACGGTGAGTGGTGGGTTTCCAGAGCCCCCCGCCAGACCACGAGGCTGGGGGCTGGGAACCAGAGCCGTCCAGTAAGGTGGCACTGCATTGTCTCTCCTCACTTCACATTCTCAGCGGTGATTTTTAAACAAAAGGCTCAGTTTCCATAAGGAGCGCTGTTCCGCCCACGTAGGCAGACACCCATCTTCAGCCGGTTCCTCCGGTGCCACGGCTGCGGGGTCGGAGCTGCCTCACTATTTGAAGAGCACCCGGCCTGCTGGCCCCACCGCTCCCGAGGGCTGGGCACCGCCTGCCACAAACAGCAGAGTCCAGCCGGCCCCCTCTGAGCATTCACGGCCGCCCGAAGCCAGGGTGGCCTCCTCCAGAAGTCAGCTGTCACACCACCGAGTCCCTGATCTCAGAGCCCAGGCGCACCCGGGGCCGGGGGCACACGGGGGACACCTCCACGAAACTGTCGTGGATGCTGAGTGGCCTCTTCTCGGACTCGGTGAAGACCTGGGGCCCCGGGGAGTTATCCGACAGGGCCTGGTAGCCTCGGTGGTCGAGTGCCGTGCTCGGGGGACCTACGCCGTTGAGAGGCCGGGTCTCGGGGGGCAGCACCACGGGGTGGGTCTTGGGGTGCACGCTGGCACACTCCCCCTGCTTCAGGAAGATTTTCAGTCCCTTCTGGTGTCCGTAGAGGAAAAATAAAATCAGGAGCACGCTGACCACCACGAACAGCACGCTCATCACCAGGAACTCGGTCCAGTAGGACTTGTCCGCGCCCCAGCTGGCCTTGCCGTGGGCTGGCGCGCTCACCCGCGACGTGTTGATGATGACAGGCGCTTTCCCCCTCCGGTCTACCACCGTGCCCTCCACCTTTGGGCAGTAGCTGGCCACCAGCTGCTGGAAGTCCTCCTCTAGTGACCAGCACTGCAACACCCCCAGCTCCTGCTGGCTGCCCACCAGCAGCAGGTCCCCACTGGGCAGCACCCTGAAGGAAGCCGAGCCATTGACAGGGACCCCGTTGCTCTGCCAGATCCGGGTCGCCAGGTTGGAGAGCAGGGGGCAGGCCAAGGTGTTCACCGTATTGGGCTGGAGCAGGACCTGCTCGCATGGCTTCTCGCCTGCGGGCAGGAGAGGCACAGACGCAGGGTGAAGGGGGCCTGGCGTCCACAGCAGCCCCAGCTCACCCACCTCCCTCTGGGGGGGGGGTGCCCATCACTCCACGATGGCAACTCGGAGGACTTCGGGGATTGTGACTCTCACATCCCGGAACCTTGCTCACAGGCTTGGAGGGCCGAAGACGGGAAGACAGGCATTTACTCCCACCAGTGCCTGAATTCAGGAGCCTTCTGAGCAACTTGGGCCCTGCCTCGCTTACCTGCTGGCACAGCAACCCGGGATTTGGCCGCGGACGTGTTGCAGAGGTCCTTGGTGTTAGCCCCCTCGATGTTCTGGACCCATGGCCTGAGGACCAAAGAGAGTCTGGGATAGGCCGGAATCCCCCGTGGGCCCGCACCCCTACCCGAGGGGCAGCCCTGCAGGTGAGGGCCCAGGACTCAGGGGCCACCAGGCCCGGAGCAGGGTGAAAGCTGGGCCAGCATCTCCTCTGTCGACAGAGTGTTTATCTCAAATAAAAGTTACTATAATACTCCCCTGAATTACGGAAGCAGCAGGAGCCTTTAGAGAAAGTCGGGAAGGACACTGGCTCTGCATCTATACAGTTGACTCCCTCTGCTTTCTGGGTGGTTGTTTTTTTTAATTTTCACCCCAAAATATGTTTGGTTATTTTTTTCAAGTTCTCACCGTGATTCTCTCCAGGTGGTGGGATTAGGGGGAGTTATATTTCGATTGGGTTTACCCCCATTTTCGAAGTTGGCTCTCTGAATGTTTTATAGCCCAAACAAGTTATTCCGCAAACAGCTTTGAACGGCCTGGTGCACAGCCCTTCCTTTCTGCTATTTAAACACTCGCACGCCAGTCCACACGCACAGCTGCGACGCTTCCTAATTTTCCAAATCACGTCCCCCGCTTACGGGCGGGTAAAGCACACAGTGTATTTACTGTCTGAACTACAACACCTCTGCGGAGCTCGTTACTAATTACGCCCAGCCAGTGGGCACAGACGAAGCCCTGCCGTGATCCTACAGGGGGCCTGGGGCGGCTGCTCTGGGAGGGACAAGGGAGAAGGGGTCTCACCTGGAGGCCACCTCAGGGTGATAGAGGCTCACGTGAAGGCACCTGGAGCCGCTCCAGGCGCAGTAGGGGTCCCGGGCCAGGAGGCAGTCCCCACAGCTCCGGTAGAGGTCACAGTTGGCCACGGGCACCTGGACTACTCCCAAGTGGGAGGCAACATACAGCAGGCCCTGCACAGATGCCAGGGTGAGAGGCAGGCAGGGGCGGCCAGGGCCCACCCACAGCCACCCACAGCCACCCCTGGCTCAGGTGCCCAAACACAGCCACTCCCAACGGCCTCCTCTCACGCTCCCGGGCACCCCGCTTTCTGACAGCTTGGCAACGGAGGGGCACCCCAAGCGCGCTGGCCGGCCCGTCCCGCCCGCTTACCCCGTTGGGGTCCAGGAGCAGGTTCTGCACCGGCTGTCCGGGCGGGAAGACCTGCACCTCCTCGACGATGTGCACCGTGGGGCCCACGTCCACCGCCTTGTGCAGCCGGCCATCACCTGCAGCAGGGACAGCGCTCAGGCCCCGGGCGGAGCCTGCTCCCCACACCCGCAGCTATG